AGATTTCTGCCCCATGCAGGCGTTGGAGAAATTTCAGCAGAAGCAAACATCATTCTTTCTTTGAATTGACTATTACGTTCTGCCTTCGGAAGACCAGCCACCAATTTCTGTGGCGTACGTGTATCTGTGCACGTATAGCAGTTTCTCGTGGTCTAGGTTAAACCATAGAAATGACTGAAGTGCAAAAGGTATTATCTATCGTTAAAAAGCAAATGCTGCAAGATATAGCGTGTGATTCTTTCTACAGGAGTGGTGTTTGAAGCTGCTAAGGTTTTGAGTTTGTTTTTCATTTGTAAAAATTGGGTTAATTTTGACCTAATGCTTCTTAGGTCATAAAATTAACCAATTGAGTGCTGGACTACCATCTTCTTCGTCGAACTCTAAACTTGTTTAGAGTAGAATTGTAAGGATTGAACTTGTCCTAGATTTGGGTGATTGTCTAGGGTCTACTACTTGGCAAACCAATTAAACTGGTCTGGGTTTAAACCTTATGCAGTTTTACTATTGTTTTGTGTGGAAAAAATTAGGCCTCAGATGACCCAATTCATTTTAGTTCATTTTTCAGCCTCTTAACCATGCTAGAATTGAACCACCCCCGGTCTGGTTCAATTCTAGACTGGTTAAAAAAATATAACGGACTGACCTAATTTCTATCAGGTTGCCAAACAGGCTCTGTCTAGCCGGTTTAAGGCCGACAAGTAGCCGAACATGATCAGTTTAAGTGGTCCATCTCGTTTGATCACAACGTTTTAGTGCCAGTTTCTTGTAACTCTTTGCGCGCATATCAGACCTCAGAACTAATATTAGGTATTTTCCCTTTCTTAATCTTGCTTTTGGAGCTTTATTATTTTTGAAGGGTGCTAACGAGTAAAAAATAGTCATAGTTTGTACTTTAAGACGATCGAATAAAGTACTTTAACAGGCTAAGTATCATGCAAGCATGCAACCTTAAATCAATCACGGATTGTGGTTGGATTCCGATTCTCTTTGTAGTAGATGTTCAATATATGATTATAATTATATATATAAAGGTAAAAGGGAAATCCATTCAATTTATAAGTTATGCTCTTTCAGATATGTTGATGTTGGAAACCACTTAGTCCTTAGGATTGGACTCAACAATGAGGCTCCAGTAATCTTATTTGATGTTTGATGGCGAGCTCCCGTTCATGACGGTCTGAGATAAATAGGAAAAGCGTCAAATTGATGATGATGGACTGTCCACCGATGCCCCTCCAATGTCTAAGTCAGACTCTTGATAATTAAGTAGTCAAAACATTAGGTAAATAATAAATTAGAGTTTCAGAGGAGAAAGATTATGGACTGAAGATTTGTGGTGACGAACCTTGCAATTACATGAGGTCGTCTTTTTCGCTTATCTTAGATAAGTGAGGTATTTTATATTGATAATCTTGGGTAGACCAACCTTTACGCGTTTCACCGTCCCAACGGCCGAGGTTGTGATGGTAATTTCTTGGTATGCAAATAAATTCATGCGAAAGTATCTTATTAGTTTAGCATGGTACAGTCGATGTACGCGTAAGTATGTTAACTTACGAAAGTTAGCAACTAGAGAGATTGAGTATCTAATCAATTTCTTCTCACATAGTATGTTAAAGACGTATGATACGATCCGAATCAAATCATTCACAACTAGACAGACCGCCAAAAAACCAGGTCAGGTTGGGTGTAGACAACCTAACCGAACCGATGAGCCCGGTGGTTACGGGCATTTAGCGCTCTATTCGGGCTTTTAGGTTAGGTTCAAGAATCGTGATCGAGTTGTACGGTACGCTGAGCGCATACGTCCCATATTTTAGCGAGTTAAAATGCGTAACTAATTAACCAAGCCAACTCATCGTCGTGAACTAATCTGGTTAATCCAAACGTAAAATCTAGGTTTGGAAAGGAACCTGAGGAAGCCATCAGAAATTATTCTCGGTCCACGGTCGTCAAATTGAGACAAGAGAAGGCCCGTAGATTTTGCACCCAGCAGCCGCGCTCGTGACTTGCAGAGAAAAAGTGGTACGAGACCTCACTTGTGAAATTACACGTCGGCTAAACCCGTGGCAGCGGGTTACGAGTCTCAGCGGCCTTAAATTTAAGAGGAGGAGACGGGAAATTAATAAAGCCGAATACCGAGCCCAACAATGAAACGATCTCCCTCCGGCGGCGCACGCGCAGCCAGCGACTAGCGTGCGCCCCCGGCCAACAACCTCCGTCCTCCCCCCCATCGGAGACGACGACGGCGACGGCCCGTACATGACCTCTGGTCTCAGAGGTCTCGCGTCCGGATCGACGACACTACGTCATCAGAGCTCACGGCGGCCGGCGGCGGCGGCGGCGATCTCTACTACAGCTGCGCGCGTCACTCCTCTTCACCGAGCTCGAAACCCCACCTCCCGTCGGCGATACTCAGCATCCGCCACCAGGCTTCGCGTCTTCATTCTCCGGTTCAAGAAACCGAAATCGCCTCCAAATGACGAGAAGCGGACCGCCAAATTCCTCTTCAGTTCCGTCCAGAAGCTCGGCCCGATCCGCTAAGGCTCTACGCCGAAGAATCCATTCAGTCGCCATGCTTCGTCGACCTCCTCCTCCGACGGGAAAAGGAACGTGGATCGGCAAGTACTCTGAACAAGATCAAGCCGCTCTCACGGCCGTCGCGCGTCGAAGCGGCGCGTCCGGTGAGCTTACTGCCGGAGATTTGGAGAGGAGAGGGCAATCATTCGCTGGGGCTGAGGATGGGCGCGAGGAGATCGAGGAAGAGCAGATCGGAGTCGGCGCGGTGAGGTCACCGCCGCTGAGGTGCGATGACTCGCTGACGCAGCAGGAGAGGTGGTCAGAGGCGCGATTGCGCACTGTAAACGGTGTTTAGTTGCGGATAATCGTTGATTAGTATTATTAATTTAGGAATATTTTTCTTCCCTCTCTCTCTCTCTCCTCTCTCCTTTTCTTCTATTTCTCAATCGCGTATATTAATTGAATTTTTTTTGGTGTTGCTTGCAAGTCACAACCTATTATGGCGGCAACGCCAAATTGATGTGCTTCAAATGTAAGACGAGGATTCTAATTTCCAACTCCTCGGTAAGCCTTCAAATTTTGAACATTACAAAAATCGGCGGCGGCAGGCGCTAGCGTGCGCCCCGCGGCAACAACCTCCGTCCTCCACCCCCCATCGGGGACGACGACGGCGACCGGCCCGTACATCGACTCTGCGGTGGTCTCAGAGGTCTCGCGTCCGGATCGACGAGCATACGTCATCAGAGCTCACGGCGGGCCGGGCGCGGCGGCGGCGATCTCTACTACAGCTCGCGCGCGTCACTCCTCTTCCACCGAGCTCGAAACCCACCTCCCGTCGGCGATACTCAGATCCGCCACCAGGCTTCGCGTCTTCATTCTCCGGTTCAAGAAACCGAAATCGCCTCCAAATGACGAGAAGCGGACCGCCAAATTCCTCTTCAGTTCGTCCAGAAGCTCGGCCCGATCCGCTAAGCTCTACGCCGAAGAATCCATTCAGTCGCCAGCTTCGTCGACCTCCTCCTCCGACGGGAAAAGGAACGTGGCAGTACTCGAACCAAGATCAAGCCGCTCTACACGGCCGTCGCGCGTCGAGCGGCGCGTCCCGTGCACTATCTGCCGGAGATTTGGCAGAGGAGAGGGAAATCACTCGCTGGGGCTGAGATCGGGGCGAGGAGATCGGAGGAAGGCAGATGAGTCGGCGCGGTGAGGCTGAGGTGCGATGACTCGCTGACGCAGCAGGAGGATGGGATCGAGAGCGCGATTGCGCACTGTAAACGGTCGTTTAGTGCGGATAATCGTTGATTAGTATTATTAATTTAGGAATATTTTTCTTCCCTCTCTCTCTCTCTCTCTCTCTTTTCTTCTATTTCTCAATCGCTATATTAATTGAATTTTTTTTGGTGTTGCTTGCAAGTCACAACCTATTAATGGCGGCCAACGCCAAATTGATGTGGCTTCAAATGTAAGACGAGGATTCTAATTTCCAACTCCTCGTAAGCGCTTCAAATTTTGAACATTACAAAAATTAATTGCCAAAAGATCTTCTGCTTTCTTTGATATATAAAATTAGGGTTTTTCTATAGAGTGTCCATGGGCATTCTATGGAAAAACCCATAAAATTAAACGTGTATCAAAAAGATGGCAACCATTCACTCGTTTGACTTCAAGGTTTGTCAATGGATGAAATGATTGAGGTCAATTTAGTACACATTAAATGTCATAAGAATCTTTTTCAAAGAAAACTTTCTTATTCAACCTTTTAAGAGTGAAAATGGGTTAAATTATCAAATTGGTATCTTTAAGCAAACTTTTATCTGTATGTTTTTTGTTTTTTTTTGTTTTGGTATGCAATTAGGCTTTTTTTTTTTTGCTATTGGCGAAAATTAGCCAATAAAGTACATGTGACCATACATGACTATATTTAAGAAATATTAGGACGCTAATATAGTTGTGTTTAAATGATATTGTAGGTGTTAGATAACGTGACACAGATCAGAAAGAGAGAGAGAGAGAGAGAGAGAGAGAGTTAAACTAATATTAACCTTACCAAATTTTCTCATTTTCCATCTCCCAAAGAGAGAACAAGATACAGGGACTTTCACAACAAAGTTCCTCATTTTTTTTGCGTTAGGCTTTCATCAGTGATGAAATTAATATCTAATTACATATTTTGTGGATTTTTCATGCCAAAATGTTGTAGGAGTAACGAAAAATACCAAACTTATAAAAAGGTGTTATAAAAATTACCAATTTGATAATTTAGCCAGCGTAAAATTAAGTTTTGTATACATGGGTAGATCCTTGAGTCATTGTGGTACTATTAGTGGTTAAATTATTTAGTCTTATGGCCTTTTTGTTAACTCATCCACTGATACAGATAAGGATATTTTGGCAAAGGGTATTGTTGTACTTTAACTAACTTATCATCACCCCTTCTCTTGTTATTTCCTCACCAAATAAGAAAAAGTCATGTACTTCCCCTCGCCCTCCCTCCAACCAAACAAGAAGGGTAAAACGTATAATATCCAATTACGCTAGTCTAGATTAGTCTAAAATAGTTTCTACCTGAGCTGGTTTTGAGTTGAACTTAAAGTTAGACTAATTTTTAAACAAAGTTAGCTTAAACTAACTATTATTTGGCAGATACACATATGCATAAAGATAAGAGTTCCAATTTTATAAACAACTATATTTTCCTTTGTCAACTTGATAATGACAATATATTTCCCCTTTCCTTTAGTTCTTTTGTGGCCAAACTTATCTGGTTCCATTTCAGACCAGGGGAACCTTGGTTTTCTTCTGGCACAGGTATGAGGTAAAATTTGGCCAGACAAGAACTAGTTAAGCCAAACAATTTTATTTGCCAAATCAGGACTGAGTTACCAACTAAAACTGGTTTTAGCACTTTGCCAAAAAAAAAACAATAAGAGTTTATGGTAGAATATGAATTCATTAATGTTAAATTGTTAAATTCTGTTGGACTTGGTTCAAAAATCAAATAACATTTTATAAGTGAAATGAGTAAATATAAATTATTATTTAAATGGGAAGTAAAATAATATTAAAGTCATTAATCTCATACTAAACTAGTAGAATATGAATTCATTAATGTAAACCTATGGATCTGAAGCTTGTTTGAGTGACTCTCATGGCCGGATATTAGGAATACAAAATTATAACTTTCAATCTTCTTTATAATTTTAGAGTTTGTTACCGTATAAGAAGCAATTATAATAACTGATAAAAACAATAATTGTAAGTATAAAGATAAAATATTTTATATTTAGGGTTAGTTAAATCCTTTATACTTACTCTAAGTTTATGGTACATTTACACCGGTGATCTTGACGTCTAAGAGTAATTCTTAGATTGTTTAATGTTTTTTAAATACGTCCGAGACGCTCAACTGTTTTGCTAAAATCATTTCAAGTTTAACTTTTAAGAGAGTCACTAGGAGCACACCCTCTAATCACACCCCCAACCACACTTCTTTTTTGCTACAGTGCATCGGGACCCACATAAGATTTTATTTAAATCTCATGTGAGTCCCGATGTACTGTAGCAAGAGGATTGTGGTTGGAGGTATGATACAGCGTATGCCCCTATCATTTTCCAATTTTTAAACTCGGCCTTAACAAAGCTGCACGCGAAGAACCGGAGGTGTAATCATTCCATCGGTAGGAAGGAGATCTCGGGCGGAATCATTTGGCAGAGGAGCTACTTGAATGCCCTTTTAACAGTTCCTTTGGAGTGACGGTGATATATGCTCCTCGTGATCCTGACATGAGTGAAGTTTTAAAAACGAATCCTTAAATGACACATAGCCTTTTTATATTGCTTACAAGGACAACTAATGCTCTGATGAATATGTTACGAACCTCACACAGAGCAGCAATATGCTGCCTTAGGAGAGCAAGAGAGTTAATTTTTCAAACAAAAATTGTATTTCATTTACGTGCTGACACGGATGTAAAAGTCATTTGCAAAAAAAACAAACTTACATATTTTAAATTCATTTTCAGATCGCCAAACACCCCCTTATGTAGCAAAATAGGTCAGAGGAAAACCGGTGTGGTCAACGTTTGTTGGTCGCCAAATTAGGGCTAAATACTTGGGCCAAAATTATTCCACTTAAACCCCATTATATTCATTTGCCAAACAGACCCAAGCTTTTATGTGGCGTTTGGTTGTTTGCAACTGGAGTTGCAATGCAAGTGTCACTTGCATGCAACTGAGACGTTGCAACTCTTCTTACATGCAACTATAATTGCAATTGTTTGGTTTAAAATTTAAATTTTACAACTTATAGTTGCAGCTGTTTGATTATGCTTATAACTTAACATATGCAACTCATAAAATATTACAAAAAATATATTATTTTAAAAATATATTGTTCAAAAAATATATTATTTTAAATATATATTATTTTTAGAAAATTATATTATTTTAAATATATATTATTAAAAAATATATATTATTCAAAAAATATAGGGAAAAATGCTTCCAGCCCCCAAAAGCCAAGTGAACATGCTTCCCATCCCCAGGACTTGGTCAATGGGTGTTTTACCCCTAAAAATAAAGAATCTGTTCTCTGAGCCCCCAAAACACAAAACCCAAGACATTAAAACATGTGAAGACCATAATACCCTTCTCTCTCTCTTTCTTTTTTTATTAAAATATGATGGAGGATTATTTTATTATTTTTATTTTTTCTCTCTCTTTATCATGATGTACCAAGAGGATAGTTAAAATGATTGATGATAATTATTTTATTATTTTCATTTTTTATTATTTTGGTTGTTTGTATTGGGAGGTTGTTAAAGTTACGGGCTGATTATTAAGGTTACGGGTTGGTTGTTAAGGTTAAGGGTTTGTTGTTAAGGTTATGAATCCTCTCTCTCTCTCTTTCTTTTTTTATTAAAATATGATGGGGATTATTTTATTATTTTTTTTCTCTCTCTCTTTATCATGATGTACCAAGAGGATAGTTGAAATGATTGATGAGGATTATTTTATTATTTTCGTTTTTTATTATTTTGGTTGTTTGTATTGGGAGGTTGTTAAAGTTACGGGTTGATTGTTAAGGTTACGGGTTGGTTGTTAAGGTTAAGGGTTTGTTGTTAAGGTTGTGGATTTGTTGTTAAGGTTGTGGATTTGATTGTTAAGGTTACGGGTTGGTTGTTAAGGTTAAGGGTTTGTTGTTAAGGTTGTGAATCCTCTCTCTCTCTTTCGTTTTTTATTAAAATATGATGGGGATTATTTTATTATTTTTGTTTTCTCTCTCTCTTTATCATGATGTACCAAGAGGATAGTTGAAATGATTGATGATGATTATTTTATTATTTTCGTTTTTTATTATTTTGGTTGTTTGTATTGGGAGGTTGTTAAAGTTACGGGTTGATTATTAAGGTTACGGGTTGGTTGTTAAGGTTAAGGGTTTGTTGTTAAGGTTATGAATTCTCTCTCTCTCTCTTTCTTTTTTTATTAAAATATGATGGGGATTATTTTATTATTTTTGTTTTCTCTCTCTCTCTTTATCATGATGTACCAAGAGGATAGTTGAAATGATTGATGGGGATTATTTTATTATTTTCGTTTTTTATTATTTTGGTTGTTTGTATTGGGAGGTTGTTAAAGTTACGGGTTGATTGTTAAGGTTACGGGTTGGTTGTTAAGGTTAAGGGTTTGTTGTTAAGGTTATGAATCCTCTCTCTCTCTCTTTCTTTTTTTATTAAAATATGATGGGGATTATTTTATTATTTTTGTTTTCTCTCTCTCTTTATCATGATGTACCAAGAGGATAGTTGAAATGATTGATGAGGATTATTTTATTATTTTCGTTTTTTATTATTTTGGTTGTTTGTATTGGGAGGTTGTTAAAGTTACGGGTTGATTGTTAAGGTTACGGGTTGGTTGTTAAGGTTAAGGGTTTGTTGTTAAGGTTGTGAATCCTCTCTCTCTCTTTCTTTTTTTATTAAAATATGATGGGGATTATTTTATTATTTTTGTTTTCTCTCTCTCTTTATCATGATGTACCAAGAGGATAGTTGAAATGATTGATGAGGATTATTTTATTATTTTCGTTTTTTATTATTTTGGTTGTTTGTATTGGGAGGTTGTTAAAGTTACGGGTTGATTGTTAAGGTTACGGGTTGGTTGTTAAGGTTAAGGGTTTGTTGTTAAGGTTATGAATCCTCTCTCTCTCTCTTTCTTTTTTTATTAAAATATGATGGGGATTATTTTATTATTTTTGTTTTCTCTCTCTCTTTATCATGATGTACCAAGAGGATAGTTGAAATGATTGATGAGGATTATTTTATTATTTTTGTTTTTTATTATTTTGGTTGTTTGTATTGGGAGGTTGTTAAAGTTACGGGTTGATTGTTAAGGTTACGGGTTGGTTGTTAAGGTTAAGGGTTTGTTGTTAAGGTTATGAATCCTCTCTCTCTCTCTTTCTTTTTTTATTAAAATATGATGGGGATTATTTTATTATTTTTGTTTTAAAAATATATTATTTTAGAAAAAATATATTATTCAAAAAATATATTATTTTAAAAAATATATTATTTTAAAAAATAATATATTATTTTAAAGATAATATATTACTTTAAAAACTAACATATTATTTTAAAGAAATTATTATAATAATAATTATTTTAAAAGATTAATGTTGTTTTTTAAAAAAAGTTTTTGAAGAAATTATTATAATAAGATTTATTTAAAAGATTATTTTAAACCTTTAATGAATTTATTTTTGAAATATTAAGTAATGATTTTGATTTTAATAAATTTAGGTCAGTTGCAACTAAGTTGCAACTATGACTTGCGGCCATTTTTTACGTAAGTCATATGTTGCAACTGTGGTTGCAACTGCAACTGTGAGTTGCAGCAAAACAAACACATACAACTGGTCAAATTGGACCTAGTTGCATGCAACTGGAGTTGCAACCACTCCAGTTGCAGCCTACCAAACAGCCCCTTAGATGCATAGGAGATCACTGTAAAACCTGAGAATTAATATCCGGACGCAAAGAGTTCTTACTCTTCAAATTTACGGCAGACAAAAATAATTTTATTTTAAGTAATTAATTTCTTTCCGTTCTGACTCTAAAATCGGTCGCTGTGGTCGCTCCTAAAGATGTAGGCCCCGTAATTGAATTGAAACTTTGTGCAAGTTGTGAAGGGGTCAGGCCTAGAGGAGTGGGCCGTACTGTTTTAGAAGGGCTTTAATTGCAGGCCATTTTCAGCCCATCAGGATCAATGTAATAATGTACATTAAATTTGAGATCAAGCAGTGCAGCGATACAATGGCTGTGCTGTTTGAAGTGAATTCGATGGGACCATATGCTATGGAGATTGATGCGAAGAATATAAAGTAGGCTGTTCTACAGTCTAGGCGGAATATATAAAATTCTCATAGTAACCTTCTTCTAGGATTCGAATAACCACACGCATGTTAGATTATGCGCAGTGAAAAAAACATTTGCATACATCTAGGAACATGAACAGTAAGTTTAGGGTTATTAATTCGGATCTTTTTTGTACGATCACAACATCTTTCTTAATCAACGGCTGGAGGACGACCACACCATACAACCGGTGAGAAACCCCTGCATATCACCCCCACGACTACCACATGAAGTACCACATAAAGTACGAACTTAATCGGAGAAGAAGATGATAGCTGTTGTATGTATATGTATATTTTTCCCTCTCCCACCATGAGAAACCCTATATTTATATATAAGGGCTTAGAGATAGAATCTTACACCTACTAGGATTATAAATATCTTATCTCTAACATAAGATCCACCCACTTATTTTTGTGTCTGTCTCATAACCATAACCAACACCTCTAATCATCAATGAGTAGTGTAGAACACCCTATTATACAAAGGGGTTTTGACAAAATCTTTATTCGTTGAACAAATATTTGGGGTTGAATGGAGGAATTAGAGTTGACACGTGGGTCCTATATGATATTAGATCTTATACAATGTTAGATGCGGACACCTACTCTCAACGAGGATTTTCTTGTTTCAAGAAATTTTAGTTATTTGCAAATTATAAATACAGGGTCTGATAGAAAAGACATAAAATTTCGAGATGTATTTGTGGCATGTTAATGAAGTTTATGTGATATATAAAAGGCTAAATTGTATACAAATACCAAAAAGTTTTGGTTATGTAGCACAAGAATATCAGAAGCCGTATTTTGCAGCAAAAACACCCTCAAAGGTTTCTCCGATGAAAACTCCCCAATGACATTAAAGAAATAGTGCGAAGACCAAAATACCCCTGGCATAGTTAATCAATAAAATTTTCTCCGTCACTTCAATCTCGTCCGCAACGATTTGGGGATAGGAGAAAGGAATTGGGGAGAAAAGGGTCGAATTTAGGGAAGTAGGATTCTGCAAGGAATTAGAGCGAGAGCATGAGAGGATTTGAGAGATTAGGGTTCAAAAATAAAAGAGAAAAATTAAATTAGAGAAGAGTAGCTAGAATAGAAAAGATTGAATGAATAAGGTTAAATTTTATTCAAAAATCCCATGAGATAATTACATAGGAATATCCCCTTGTTTTGTTAACATAATATAGTATATTTCACACACACACATATATATATATATAAAAATTAATGAGTATCATTATCAAAGAGGGGGATTTCCTCCTTAATAATAAAGTGGCTGAATAAAGTAGGAGAGAGAATTTCACATGGTGAAGATTGTACGACATCATTGTCAAGGAGAGAATCCCCTCCTTACATAAGATACACATTAATCTCATATATAAAATACACCTCGTTATATTTTTATGCTACATTAAGGAAACTTTTGTGGCATTTTTGTGCAATTTAGCTTATATAAAAGTTCATGAAGGTCAGGTACTAAAATCGCCAAAGGTGGGGTCAGGTTTATGAAAATAACCCAAATATAAAATAGTACGGCGTTAGACCCTGAGCGTCGACATAATCTTCTTTTGACGAGTTCCACAACTATAACGCCTCGTTTGGTACGCGAGAATGGACATAAGTGAGAATGGAATGGAAGAAGGAATGGAATGGATTGTATGTGGGAATGGAATGGTCATTCCCATTCTCATGTTTGGGTACTTTTGTAGAATGAGGCTAGAATGAAAATCTCGTTCTCATTCCCATGTTTGGTATCACTTGTCCACAAGTGAGAATGGAATCGCATTTTCTAATAATGTCCTTACAACAACATATATTTTTAATAAGATAAAAATAAACATTAATGATAATAACTAAATAATTTTATTTATGCATATGTTATACTAATTTATGTGCATGTTATACTATTGCGCATGTTATCTCTCAAGTGTATGTTCTATTTATATTTTTTAAACAATACTCACTATTTCTTAGTCTTAAAAAATTAAAGAAAAATAAATAAAAGATTATCGCATCTTTCATAGGTCCAAAAAAATATAAAGAATGATATCCACAGTTGATGCATATTGCATATGAAAAGGATGTCAGAATTACTAATGTGGAAATCAGTTGATTAATAGGGGTATAATTAAAAAATAAATAACTGATTTGATTCTCTCTTGAATGGGAATGACCATTCCCTATCTTCTCACTTGGAATGCTCATTCCCACAAAAAGTGAGAATGGTCATTCCCTAGGAATGGTCATTCCAACATCTAAAAAGTTGGTTTGTTTGGTATGAAGGAATGGGAAGTGAGAATGCCATTCCATTCCACCCCATTCCCGCCTACCAAACGAGGCCTAATTGTTTATAATATGGATGCAGAACAAAAAAAAAACATATATTAATGTAGCCTTTCTAGCCAGCTATACGCCTCTAATGGTCCAGCCCATCTTTGTACTGTGACAGTTATACGAATGGTCAAAGCCCATACTCGTGAGGGGGGTGTTTGTTTCAATTTTTTTGGGGATATGGCAGGGATTTCAAGTTTTGGAATGTAAAAAGAGATTTTTTAGATTTTTAGAATTCCATAAAACTTGTTTGTTTCAAAATAAGTTTTAGGATATTAAATCCCTAAATAATAAAAAATAATATATTTAAGGATTTGTGAAACCCTCCTTTTCATGTCAAATGTGAGGTGGATTTCAAAAGCTTTATACAAAATATCGATTTCAAATTCTAAAAGGTTTGAAACAAAAAATATTACAAATAATAGTATTTCAAATCTTAAAATATTGTTGAAACAAACAAAGTTTTAGGAATCCTAATACATAACAAATTACCTATGTATTTTTTAAATCCCACGGGGAAATTCATATCCTAAAACTATAGGATTTGAAACAAACACCCACTAAATCGGCTGACGTTAAACGACCCATAGGGGGATCCAGGCGCACCAGAAAAAGGCCCAGGTTCTAATTCTTAGATGGGCGGGGTTTAACCATTCTGACCCTTTTTTATTCTTTTCTTAGTAAAATACTTGCTCTTGAGATTGAGTCAATGAAAGGGTAGATTCCACTAAAATCTTATAAACTTCCACACAAAAAAATCACAAAATTGAAATGCAACATTTTAGCAGAATAAACTCTCTCTCGCTCAATAAATCATTTCAGGAGAATAAACTCTCCCGCTCAATAAATCATCACTCATTTCTCAATCCCCTAACGAATTCAGCCCACTTATCAACCGACGACCCTCCCTCTCTCCTCGCCGCG